CGGAGCTCCCTGGAGGCCAGCTTGGGCCGCGCGCAGGAGAACTACGAGCAGCTGCAGGAGCAGCGCGCCCGGGAGCTTCGGGAGCGAGCCCGGAAGGAGGAGCTGCAGGGTCGGCGGGCGAAGGAGGCGGCCGAGCGCAAAGAGCGCGAGCATCAGGCGCACTTGGAAGCGCTGGCGCGGGCCGGCGAACGACGGCTGCAGCACGCGGCGCAGGTGGCCGAAGAGGCGGTGCAGCAGAAAGCCCGGCGCGTGGTTCAGACTCGCCTGGAGAAGGAGAGGACCCAGCGAGCCAACAAGGAGAAGGTGGAGCGCGACGAAGACTGCCGCCGCCGGGAGCTGCTGCAGGCCATAGGGCGCAAGCTGGAGCGCAGCGAGCAACTGTCCCGGGAGAGGCGAAGCGCGCTGGAGAGCGCTCGCTCCACAGCCCGGGCCTCCTTCCACGTGCGGGAGAAGGTGCGGGAGGAGACCAACACGCGCTCATTTGACCGCATGGTGCGAGAGGCCCAGCTACATGCCAGCCTGGACCGTAAATGACAGCTGCCCTGTGCGCAGGCCATACTGCTTTATAGAGCCAGGTGGGGCCGCCCTTAGCCGCTTCTTCCAAACTCGAGGCATCTAGTCCAAGGGCCATACCATGAACTCCCCAGACTGATGAACCATGAGACAATGAGAAGCCAGACGCGGTACTTTTCCGTTTGCCACGGTTGCTTTACAGACTTACATCGTTTGGAAATGACATGACACAATTTACTCACATCCACCTGTGTCTTTGGGTTGGAATAGAAAATAGCTGGGGAGGGGGAGGGTCCCCCTAGGAGAGAGCACAGAGGTGAATGTTGGGTTTTCTGCCACAGGTGTCGGTGTCTTGGACATCTTTCTGACATTTGTGTCTAAGATGACTTTCCCTTGCAGCAGCCGAGGGGATATAGCCCAGACTCACCTTTATCTTCCAAAATACAAGTTGCACAGAACTTAAAGTCTCCCAAGAAAGCACAGCTCTTCGAAGATGTTAGTTCACGCACAAATGACCACAAAAGCTATTAGTTTTGAGCGCTGGACTGTTAATCGGACACCTGAACAAATTCTCCTGTTCCCATAATCTTTTTCAGTTGAGTCCTTAGGCTTTCTAGTTAGACAATCATCTGCAGATAATAATCATTTATTCTCCCACGTGGCATGGGAAATGGGTCGGATTGGTGATGCTGTTTAGCTTTCATGGAAGCCCTCCATCCCCTCACCTCCCCGGAGGTGGTGGTTTCCTTAGGCAGCAGTGTTCCACCCGGTGAGGCTTCCATGGGTTCTGATGTAGTTCAGTGGAGGCAGTGTCTGATGGTCACGTCCCTGTGTGGGGCCAGCTCCTGCAGACAGAAGCTATTGCCTTACGAAGCAGAGCTACCTTCTGTGCCTGCCCAGGCCACTCTTGCCTAAAGCTCCAGCCTTGAATGAAGTCTCAAGGATGAAACCCTGAGGAATCTGGAGTGTGTAGGATTCCCTGTGTGAAATAGTTCAGTGCTCGGAAGACAATTTAGCATCTTTGGCTGTATGGCTGTGGCGACTGAAGGGCTAGAATTGCCTCTGCGTTTCGTTGTGCTGTTGTTGGTAGGGTATCACTCTTCCCTGGGAAAGGAAGAGTCTTCCCTCTTTAAATTTATACCTGAAGTATTTAATCAGTCTCTTGGTGCCTCACCTTTCCCATCTGCCAGATGGGGCCATCAGAACTCTTCTGGTACCTCAAGATCTCTTGGATCCAAAGCACCACTACAGTGTTGTTCGTTGGTCTCCGTTGTGCCTTTCTTGACCTGGAGTTGGGAGGCAGGAGGACTGCTTTGAGCCTAGTTTGTTTCTGGTAATATGGGTTCCTGGCATTAGACAGGGTAGTTCATCACAGAGAGATGGTCATTTAGTGTCTGAGGAGTATGTGTGTGTGTGTGGAGGGGGGGTACTTGCAATGCCAAGCCGCTTCCTGGTCAGAAGGTTCAGTTATCACTAGGCAGTTTTAACCCATACAGTACTCCTTTCACGAAGCTGGAACTGACCCCACTCTTATCTGCCTCTCGGTTGCGTCTTCACCAGGGAAAGTAGAAAGTCAACCATCCCTTTTTACATTAATCAAGGTCAGGAAATAAAAAAAAAAGTACCAAAAAGACAGGAATCAGGGTAGAGATGTGCTGCGTTAGATGTGTTTTGTGTGTGTTCTGCTGGCAGAGTCGTCCCTAGAGTGACAGGTTATTGCCCACACCCCTCATCGACACTATCCCATCACATGCTAAGAGTAGTCTTGTGTCGCAGACAGCTGTGCTTAGGTGTCGCGTGTGAGATAATGTGAAACCCAGAAAGGAGCTATGTACCAAGGCTTATTTCTTGAATGGGTGGTTTTCCCCTCACATTCCCTTCTTGTCGGGGAGCTGTAATAACTGGTGTTGTCTCTGAGACAGGAACATTTACTAAAAAGTGAATGTGACTATGGACCTTTGATCTTGTGGTTCCTGAGTTGCTGCTGAAACCCTTGTAGAATGCACCAGCCTCAAAATGACTTTCTTCCAAGTATGGGCGTTTGTTTGAGGAGGCAGTCTGGTGCCGTGAGCCAAGCACTGGGAGGTACATAGCGATTCAACCTGTTCTTGTACCCTGTTGGCTTCCCACCTTACTGCGTGACTTTGGGCAGATCACCTTTCCAGTGTAGAAGGGGGATTGTGGTTCCTGATCTCTGGTTTGTGCAAACATAGGATGCCAGTGGCAAGCGACTGCCATTTCCGTCCCTCTGGATCTGCAGGTGCAGTGGCTATCCACATGACATGACCACCGTGGCTGGAGAATGTAACGGGCCACCATGATTTGGTGCAGAAGAAGAAGCTGTGAGGAGCACATTGTAGATACAGTGTCACACATGCACAGGCCCAGGCCTGAATGTCACCAAACTAGACACTGAGAGAGCCACTATGTAAAAATACAAACATTTTAGGTTTTTACCTAAAAGTCCATACGACTGAGTATAGTTAAAAACAGAAGTAACTCAAGTCTGGTGGCAGTAAGAAATGGTTCTACAAGTTCCAGGCCATCTGCTAGAGCATGCTACTGGAGTCGGACATGGTGGCTCTCATCTATAGTCCGAGCACTGAGGAAGCTGGATCAGGGGGATAACTAAATTGAGTCAGTGAGACACTGTCAAAACAAACCACACAAACAGAAATGGAAGGAGAGCCACCTGTATGTTTTAAATGTTCATGGCTCTCCCTAAAGATGGTTAATGTCCAAAGTCTTTCATGGGCCCCTAATTTAAGTTTCCAGAGAAGAGAAGTTTTAATTTACTCTGAAATGCAGCAAGAGGACATGGTGGGGAGAATTGTCCCGAAACAGCATTGTAACAGGTGTCCAGAGTTGAACATGCTGAACATTTCTTGTCTCCCAGGAGATCCCAACCTTCAAGTGGCCACAGCCTCACGTTTACTCTCTTGAAACATCTGAGTAAAGATGTTCAAAAGAGAGAAAATGTGAAGTAATACGAGTGGGGATGGGGAAGGATTGGAAAAGCTTTAATTCGGCCAAATACCAAGAAAACAAACCTAAACCATCTCAGAAGAAATCACTGGTGAAGCCAGTCTGTTCTGCTGTGGCAGGAACCAGTGTCTACACCCATTTGGACAGGAAAATGAAAATTCCCTTTTGGAAGCATACAGACTGGGCTTTCAATGGAGCAGTAACCAGGATTTGCCAAAGGCTAAAGGTCTGCAGGGTAGTGGAGCTAGAGGGATATCTTGGTCTGTTTTATGTTGCCCTAACATAATGCCCAAGGCTAAGATAAAAATAAAAGAGATTTGTCGCTGAGAGTTGTGGGGGTGTAGAGCATGTTACCAGTATTTACTTGCCTTCTTTTGAGGCCTTCAGGGGGACGGCACATTTCATAGGTACCTGGGGAGGGTTTCACACATAAGACAGGAAGCAAGAGATTGAGGAGAAAACAGACACACTTGTGTGTCAACCCACCCTTTAAGGAATCCGGCTGTTCCTGCAAGACCCAGCCCATTCTGCAACACCAGCATTCATCCCTTCAGAGGGTGGAATCCATAATGTAATACCTTCCATTAGGCCCCAGCTCTTCAAGGTCCCAGCACATGAACTGTCTGAGGGGCAAACTATATCCAAGGTACAGCCATGAGAAGGTAGTCTGTAGTCTGAATGTTATATAGTCTGTCACTTAGTCTCCCTCCGTCACACAGTCCGTTGAGACAGATGTGACTCTATGTAAGGGGCTGCATCTTATTTACCACCAAGTCTCCTGTAGTCCCTGGTGTGGAACCTTACTTAGGACAAGTACATAAATACTGGATGGAGGGGAGGTTGGAGGTGTAGATGGATGGACAGACAAGTGGCGATCAGAGGCACTCTGCATAGAACAGATGTGTGTGCAGATCCGCAGTCATCAGTGAATATCCATTGAGCACCCACTACATGACAAATGCTACTCTTTTTGTTTGTGTTTGGAGACGGTTTCTCTGTGTAGCCCTGGATGTCCTGGAACTCGCTCTGTAGACCAGCCTGGCCTCAACTCGGGGATCCACTTGTCTTTGCCTCCTGAGTGCTGGGATTAAAGCCTACACCAGCATGACCAGTCCCAAATACCACTCTTGATGTTGGTGAAATTGAATCTCTCGGATTACTGACCTTAAAGGTATTTTGTGCAAAGTCATGAACGTGTGTCTGTTTCCCCATTGCGTTTACCTTCCTTCCCACCTGGGTATATACATTCTCAAGTAGACCTAATTGTCCCTCGAGATACTAACTTCAAGCCTTTTTGGACTCCTAGAGACAAGCCATCTGCCAATCAACCATCATCTAATCATTATTGCTCTTTTTCCTTCACAAAAGGCTTGGTTAAGTGGGTCAAATTTACAATGCCATGTACTTTAAATTATGAGGCAGAGGAGGGAGAAAGAGAAAGACCAAGAATATCACCTTCCAGGGTGATATATGTCAGTTTAGAGAGGAGGCATAAATAATCATTGTGGACCAAGAAAACTAAGCCTCAGGCCATGCAGAGTCCTAGTTCACCAAATTCACAAATGCACCACCATTCAGCTGTTCTTGCTAAGACAAGAAAGTTAACATTTCAAAACTATTTCCCACTTAAAATTCCCCCAAAGGGATTTCCGATTAAGTCTAAATTGATGAGAAAGTTAACTAAACAAGAATATCCCACTCACTTTAATGAGCAGCATCTAGGTAACAGACATCAACCATGGGTTGCTATGGAGACTTGCCTTTCCCACACTGTATAACTACAGCTCTAAATGTTTTAGAGAAGCTGGTTAGAGCAGAAGGAAACAGGCGTTTTTAAATGTGCTTTGTTTTTGAGACAGAGTCTGTATGTAGCACAGGCTAGTCTCGGTCTCACAATCCTCCTGACCAAGCCACGCAGTCTCAGGATGGCAGGCATGCATCATCATTGTCTAGGAATGCTTGGCATCACTTGGCACAGCTTGGAAAGAGGCTCTTAGGGAGCCGGCAGCAGGCACCTGTAGATTCTAGAACTGCTAAGTGTTCTATTTAGTGCCTGACTTTGCATGTCTGGAGTAGTGCCTAAATATTACAATTGGTGACATGCTTTGGTTATGTGTGTCTCTACAGAAGGGCACCTCGTTGACTCAAAACATGGGGCTCTCTGACATTCTTCCTAATGCACCTCCTCCTGCTTTGTCTGCTCCCCAGCAGTCTGCCCCTAGCCCTTCACAGCTACCTCTGACACTGCCCGGCTTCTGACAGGTCAGGGTTAGTCCAGGCTAGAGGCTGTCGGCTGTCAAGGCGTGGGATGTGGGGTGTTTTCTTCCGAGGACGGCTGATAACACAACCATTTGCAAAGTTATTGCTCCCCAATTCATCATGCTCCTCATGATGACAAGAGCCTTTACCCATTCATCATGCGTAATCACACCCTTCATGAGCAGAAATGCCAGTCCCACGTGATTTTTAAATCATCCGTCACTTTGAAGGGCTTATGCCTTTCTTCCTCTCCACTGGCACAGTGCCGAGACCCTGCTTTTGCGGCTGCCTCTTTCCCAATTCACAGAGCTGTCAGGAAGATGATCCACATCTACTACTGTCTGTACGCGTGTGTGCACGCACACCCACCCTGCCAGCCCTAGTGTTGGGGTTCTGAAGAGGGAAGGAACCTA